GTCTCTCTCTCTCTCACTGTCCACTCTGCCAGTCAAAAAAAAAAGTCAAATTACGAGAACCTTACTAAAAATTTCCCTTCAGGATAAGACTGCAACTATTTGCCTGATATTGCACCTTTGTTTAGTTTCTTCTTCTCAATCCTGCTCTCTATTCTCCAAGGTTTTTCCTGGGATTGCTGCTTTAACAAGGAATTTGCACGTGAATCCTGGTCTGAGTTTGAGTCTGGGAAATCTGAGTTAATAAAAACTAAATACTTCCAAAGTCACTAGCAATAGAAAATGCATCTCAGATGGGTGTAAACAATAAAAGAGGCTTATTGGCTTTAATAACCAGAAATGTTCGCAATAGGAACAGTCTCAATGATCAGTAATAACATGGAGGACATGGTTTCTCACCTCCCTCTTGTTCTGTCTTTAAGCTGCCTTCATTTATGGTACAAAACTGGCTGAAGCAGTTCCAGCCATCGTATCTACAAAACCTTACCCCTAAGAAAAGAAATCTTCTCTTGTGATCACTTCTTTACAAAGGCATACCCCGCCCCCACTAGGTTGCTCTCAGAAAACATCTCCTTGCATCTTTTTGGCTCTAGTTGGGTCATGTGTTCACCACTTAAAAGTCTCTGTGGATGTGGTCACGTTATACACAGGCAGATACGTGAATGTCCACCTGGCCCTGTTAAAAAGTGGGAATTAGAGGATAGGTGCTAACCTGGCAACAGATTCTCCTGTCTTGGAGTCACAGGAAGTGTTCAATGACATGGAGTTAGCAATAGAAAGAGAGAATCAGGACCTCAAGCTCAGAAGACCACATGGACTCTACTTTGAATGTTCTACTGCCTGAAATTTATTCAGGTCCAATCAATTTTGCTCTATATTTCTACATTCTAAAATTTAAATTCCTCAGGGAGCAACTTTGATTGGTACAACTTGCATTAGGGGCAGGATCTGTAGAGGATTTGCTACCACCAAGGCACTCCTGCATGTGAGACTGTTCCTAGAAAAGGCAATACAGTTGCCAGACTGGCACCAGCTCTGGGGGCTGGTTATAACCAGGTAATGCTCTCAGTGTTCAGAAATTAATTAGGCTCTGATTAGGGGTTCACCGTCCTCGTGCTATGGTAACATATAATCTCTGATTACCATGCCCCCCAACCACCACATCTCATCAAAATGAAAAAAAAAATTACCATAACATCCAAAAGGATTGATACAATTGTAATATTTCCTATGATCACAGTTTCAGTGTTTTTCCTCCCTTAGGGAAAATAAAAAAAAAAATACTATTAGAAGGAGGAGAGAGGGAGAGAAGGTGAGAAGCATTGTTATGTTCTTAAAACATGCATACATGTGGGCGGCGCAGCGGCTCACTAGGCTAATCCTCCACCTTGCGGCGCCAGCACACCAGGATCTAGTCCCGGTTGGGGAGCCGGACTCTGTCCTGGTTGCCCCTCTTCCAGGCCAGCTCTCTGCTGTGGCCAGGGAGTGCAGTGGAGGATGGCCCAAGTACTTGGGCCCTGCACCCCATGGGAGACCAGGAGAAGTACCTGGCTCCTGCCAGCGGATCAGCGCGGTGCACCAGCCGCAGCGCTCCGGCCGCGGCAGCCATTGGAGGGTGAACCAATGGCAAAGGAGGACCTTTCTCTCTGTCTCTCTCTCTCACTGTCCACTCTGCCTGTCAAAAAAATAAAAAAAAATGCATACATGTAATTTGTTCTCTTATATTAATTAATAATAAATTTTTTTGATGGCCCCGTTCTTTCCACTGGGATCTCACTCGCAGAGATCTTTCATTTAGGTCTTTTAAAACAGCATTAGTTCCTCTGTGATCTAACATGGATCTCTATCATGGAGTTTATTAAGAATTCAGAATCAAGCTCCAGGAATGCAGTAAATGAGCAGGACAGCCTGCAGAGCCAGATGCAGGAAATGCAGGAGAGCAGTCTCAATTGCTGATGATGCTGGAGGATGCTATAGCAGACACTGCCGCAGACCCACTCAAATCACAACAGCACTCACCGTTCCCGGGGACGTGAGCCTGCCAGCACCTACAACTCTCTGGCTGAGAGCTTTCACTGGCCAGAGCAGTGTGCTCGGCAGACGGTAATGCTTCTGGGAGCACTGACAATGTGATGTGTGGGACAACTGTGGGAAGCCACAACCATCACGGCTCCTTTCAGCAAGACGGAGCCTGACTTGGTCACGCAGATTCTTCACTCCCCTGACTTACTGCTCCTCTTCCCTTTGGGTGCTCTGAGGGATCATTGCCATAACAAACTACTTGCAGTGAAATCATTATATCAAGATTCTTTGGAACCTAACCAAACAGGCAGCCAGGAGGAGCTATAACCGAGGGAAGGCTGGGACCTGGCCATCGGGAAGCCTCACAGGTGCTGTTTCCTACCTGAATTCACGACTGGAACATGACTATGCAGACAGAGAAATGAGATCGTCTCAGTTCACTGGCCCGATTAGTGTCCCAGACTTCTAAGTACACTTGCCTAGTAATATGCCAGAGATCCAAGGAGCACTTTTGTACCAAGAGAAGAGTTTGTTCTGGAATCATTATGCTTTTCTTTCCATCAGTAGTACCCTTATTAAAGTGTCTAAAGCCCAGTGAGTCATCAGAAAGTTGCCAGGTTGGCGTTGATACAGAACAAAGGGAAATGGTATTTGTGGCGTTATTGATCCCAGCCATGGCAAGTTCTGAAGGCACTCCCTTGGCCTATAAGAGAGACCTCTCTTACCAACAGCCAGGATTCTCACGACCTCAGGTTGAAAAATTCTCTCTGCAGCAATAGTAAACTGTCAGATGGGCTTCTCTGAGTCCAGTTTCCACCTGAGTTAGCCCTTACAACTGAACTATTCCTTCTGCACATGGAGCACCCGTCTGTAAGTACACTCCCCAAAGCACTGTCTCGCTTCCACCATGTGGGCTGTCTTTATGTCCCTTCCTCGAGGACAAGTATTTTCACTTCTTCCAAGAATTGAGTGAACCTCCAACTCCCAGTACTGCCTGCAAGCAATTTTTGAAATGTTTGTACGAGGGGACTTCAAAAAACCTCATAGAACATATAATGAAAAGATATTTATCCTGGTGCAAGAAATTTTGAAATCCCGCATGAAAGTACCTGGATTGGATTCCCGGTTCTGACTCCTGGCTCCAGCTCCTGGCAAATGCACATACTAGGAGCCATCAGCAATGGCTCAAGTAGTTGGTTTCCCACCACCCCTGTGGGAGACCTGGGTTGCATCCCTTGCTCCTGGCTTCATTCCCAGCCTAGCTCAGCTGTTGCGGGTTTTGGGGAGGTGAAACAGCAGATGGGAGTTCTCTGCCTGTCCGGCTCTCTGTCTCTCAAATGGGCAAACAAAAGTTAAAAAAAAAATAAAATGAAGTCACTATGACATGCCAATTTTATTCTAAGTTTCCTTAACACGGTAGGGGATTAAATCTACAAATATCAAGGCACCCATAGAAGCCTCAGTGTCCACAGCTCCTGGAAACCAGCGTTTGTTCCCCATGTGGGACACAAGGTCTTTTGCTCATCCACACAGGAGCCTCTGTTAAATTGAAGGGAGAGCATGCTCATAGGCCTTACAGGCTTCCTTGCCACCTCAAACCCAAACAGCAATAACCAAAGTTCTCCTTCCCTTCTTAGATCCCCTCCTGCCAAGAAGAAACAGAATCAGAGAGGTGCCATGAAAATAAATGGACTTAGTACTATCTATTTATTTCCAAAGCCTCCACTCTGACAAACAGCAGCTAGAGCCTTTGTCATTTGAAAAGAATGAAGCTGAAAATATGAATGGTGCTGCTGCTTTTCAGACGCATGCAGGCACTTTCCCTTCCCTCCCTCTGCACGCGCCCTTCCCCCCCTCAGCATGCACCCTTCCCCATTTATTTTCATGGTGACAATTTCCAGATCTTTCCGGTTTGATTTCCTCCTAATGAAATTTTGCTAAAAGGAGATCACAGGGGTTTTCAAGAGGAATTTCTAGCTTGACAGACGATGGCCATTGCAATTACTTTAATTAAGTCCTAAATGCTTTAAGAAAACATAGCAAACCAACAACAATAACAAAGAAAGAAAAGAGCCTCAGCTTTCCCATCAGCAAAATATTAAAGTGACGTAATGCCATTTTATCTTTTATTTCTGATGCTGTGCTCAAACTGGGGCTGTCCTGGAATTTTTTGCTACGTGACCTACGACGGAGCAATGTAAAAGTAACCCTCTCTTTCCAGAGCCTACCTCATCTGTGGGATACGACTTTGCAGGTTGAACTACCTATCTCAAGCTTTCCTTTGCTTTTTTTTTTTTTTTTTTTTTTGACAGGAAGAGTGGACAGTGAGAGAGAGAGACAGAGAGAAAGGTCTTCCTTTGCCATTGGTTCACCCCCCAGTGGCTGCCTTGGCTGGCGTGCTGCGGCCGGCGCACCGCGCCTATCCGAAGGCAGGAGCCAGGTGCTTATCCTGGTCTCCCATGGGGTGCAGGGCCCAAGGACTTGGGCCATCCTCCACTGCACTCCCTGGCCACAGCAGAGAGCTGGCCTGGAAGAGGGGCAACCAGGACAGAATCCGGTGCCCCGACCAGGACTAGAACCCGGAGTGCCGGCGCCGCAAGGCTGAGGATTAGCCTAGTGAGCCGCGGCACCGGCCTCCTTTGCTTCTTTTTTTTTTTTTTTTATCTTTTATTTAATGAATATAAATTTCCAAAGTACGACTCATGGGTTACAATGGCTTCCCCCCCCATACCGTCCCTCCCACCCACAACCCTCCCCTTTCCCACTCCCTCTCCCCTTCCATTCACATCAAGATTCATTTTAGATTATCTTAATATACAGAAGATCAGCTTAGTATACCTTAAGTAAGGATTTCAACAGTTTGCTCCCACACAGAAACATAAAGTGAAAAATAATAGATGATTTTTTTTAAATGATGATGAAATCAGATCAGACCTATTGTCATGTTTAATCCCAGTGAGAGTCAAGTTGGGAATTGATAATTTCTTTTTTTTTTTTTTTTTTTTTTTTTTTTTTACAGAAGATCAGTTTAGTGTACATTAAGTAAAGATTTCAATCGTTTGCACCCCCATAGAAACACAAAGCGAAATATACTGTTTGAGTACTCGTTATAGCATTAAGTCTCAGTGTACAGCACATTAAGGACAGAGATCCTACATGAGGAGTAAGTGCACAGTGACTCCTGTTGTTGATTTTACAAATTGACACTCCTGTTTATGGCATCAGTAATCTCCCTATGCACCAGTCATGAGTTTCCAAGGCTATGGAAGCCCCTTGAGTTCTCCGACTCTTATCTTGTTTAGACACGGTCATAGTCAAAGTGGAGGTTCTCTCCTCCCTTCAGAGAAAGGCACCTCCCTCTTTGAAGACCTGTTCTTTCCACTGGGATCTCACTCACAGAGATCTTTTTGCCAGAGTGTCTTGGCTTTCCATGCCTGAAATACTCTCATGGGCTTTTCAGCCAGATCCGAGTGCCTTCAGGGCTGATTCTGAGGCCAGAGTGCTATTTAGGACATCTGCCATTCTATGAGTCTGCTGAGTATCTCACTTCCCATGTTGGATCACTCTCCCCTTTATTTATTCTATCGGTTAGTGTTAGCAGATACTAGACTTGTTTATGTGCTCCATTTGACTCTTAGTCCTTTCATTATGATCAATTGTGAACTGAAATTGATCACTTGGAATAGTGAGATGGCATTGGCACATGCCACCTTGATGGGATTGAATTGGAATCCCCTGGTATGTTTCCAACTCTACCAATTGGGGCAAGTCAGCCCGAGCATGCCCCAAATTATACATCTCTTCCCTCTCTTATTCCCACTCTTATGTTTAACAGGGATCACATTTCAGTTAATTTTCAACACTTAAGAATAACTGTGTGATAATTACAGAATTAAACCAGTCATATTAAGTAGAACAGACAAAAAAAAAATACTAAGAGGGATAATGTATTAAGTTGTCCATTAGCAGTCAGGGCTATGCTGATCAAGTCACCATTTCTCATAGTGTCCATTTCACTTCAGGAGGTTTCCTTTTTGGTGTTCAGTCAGTTGTCACCGATCAGGAGCCTCCTTTGCTTCTAACAAGAAGAGAGAACTGCATTTCAGAGATGCATGGAAATCTCATGCTGCAAACAAGCCTAAACCTTTCTGGCCCCAGATGACTCTAACCATGCACCCTGCTTACAGAATGAAATGACCCAGGGACTAAGTCTTCTTTGACATTTAATTGTAATCATTGATTCACTAAAGTAGTAGTTATCCAAACTATGCTCAATCTCTGTAGTTTCTTTTTTAAATTTTTTTGAAAATAGAATGATGCAACCATTATGGAAAACAGTGTGACAATTTCTTAAAAACTAGAAATATACTTGCCATGTGATCCAGCAATCCCTCTACTGGGTATACACATACCCGAAAGACTTGAACACAATGCACATACCCGAAAGACTTGAACACAATGCATCAAAGAGATGCTGCATCACCATGTATATAGCAGCACTGTTCACAATAGCCAAAAATTGGAACCAACCAAAGTGTCCATCATCAGTTGAGTGGATAAAGAACATGTGGTATACATACACAATGGGTTATTATTCAGCTATAAAAAAAAAGAATAAAATGCTACCATTTGCAGCAAAATGGATGTAACTGGAGGATATCTTGTTGATTGAAATAAGCTGGATCCAGAAAGACAAACACTAAATGTTCTCCCTTAAATGTGGTATTTAAAATTAAAAAAACAAACAAAATAAAATATAAATAACCTCTGTATTTATCAGTGTTAATGAAAATATAGTTTAGTAAAGCTTTGTTTTATACTTTTGTCAAACCAATGGTTAAGAATGTTATACTGTTATAGTTTTAATGATCTGTGATTATTTTAAAATGTACTATATATGAATGAAACTCTGTCACTTTTCCATTCAATGATTATTTATAGCTATTCTCTATATTCCCACTAAACCAGGGTCTTTTTGCTTTATACTTGTTAAATTTCTTATTCAGTGAAGTATTAAGACTTATTACTGTAATGTAAACTTAAAATATGTTATCTCAGCTGGCGCTGCAGCTCACTAGGCTAATCCTCCACCTGCAGCTCGGCACCCTGGGTTCTAGTCCCAGTTGGGGCGCTGGATTCTGTCCCGGTTGCTTCTCTTCCAGTCCAGCTCTCTGCTGTGGCCCGGGAAGGCAGCGGAGGTTGGCCCAGGTGCTTGGGCCCTGCACCCACATGGGAGACCAGGAGGAAGTACCTGGCTCCTGGCTTCGGATCGGCACACCGCGCCGGCCGTAGCAGCCATCTGGGGGGTGAACCAACGATAGGAAGACTTTTCTCTCTGTTCCTCTCTCTCTCTCTAACTCTGCTTGTTATATATATATGTAATCTCAAAAACTAAAAAGAGGAATGAAAGGGAGAAGAAAGAAGGGTGGGAAAGAGGAGAGGAGGGAGGAAGGGAATATGATTATGTTCTTAGAATTGCATCTACAACTCACATTGAATCTCTTAAAAGCTAAATAAAATTAAAATTAAAATTAAAATTAAAAAACAAAAGTGTGAAAGCCATTCTGAAGAGTTTTAAGAGATAGCAAAGTATTTCTTTTATAAGTCCTCATTTTAAAAAATTATTTTCAGTCTCCTGCATCTCTATACTGGTGATAAGGACAGCCTCTATCACATAAGATGCATATGAGAATTTAAAGAGATAATAGGGACAGGCATTTAGTGCAGCAGTTAAGATGCTACTTGGGAGGCCCACATCTCATATAAGAGTGTTTGGGTTCCAATCTGGCTCTGTTTTTCATCCAGCTTCCTGCTACTGTGTGCCCTGGGGTGCAGCACATGATAGCTCAAGTACTTGGGCTTCTGCCACTCACATGGGAGACTTGGACTGAGTTCAGAGCTCCCAACTTCATTCTGGTCCAGCCCTGGCTATTGCTAAGCAGATGGAAGATCTCTCTCTCTCTCTCTCTCTCTCTCTCTCTCTTTCTGTCTCTCTCTCTCGGTCTGTCTCACTCTCTGCCTTTCAAATAAACAAATATTTCTTAGAAGAGAAAATAAATGTCAAGTTTTGGGCACTGTGTCTGAAGCATGGTAAACAGTAACTTAGTTATTTTTAGTAGCAGTATTTCTCTTTTTAATAATCATACATTGAGCACATCTGAGTCATGGACTTTTAATGAACACTTAATAAGCACTTTTTTTGCACAGTTCTCTATTATCTTCACAAGAACACTGAAAAATTAGCTCAATAAGTTTTTCTTTTTATTGATTATGGAGTAATACATACTCTTTGTAGGAAATTCATAAAATGAAAAAAAGTATATATAAGAAAATATAAATCATCTATTGTCTCATCATCAAGAATTAATCACTCTTAAATATCTTGGCATATTTTCTCTCAATGATTACTCCTACCTATAAAATATATAGATGCTTCACACAGTTGGAGTCATACTATAAGTAGGGGGAGCTCAAATGGTTTGTGGAAAATAATATCAAAATATAAGTTTATTTTAGTGCAAGAAATGTCTAAATCCTTGTGTAGTTTTTTTTCATAATACACATTTTACATGAATTTTTTGAAAAACCCATGCAAATGTGACCTCTTTTACTCACTTAGTTTGTAACATCAGTCTTTTCCCAGAGCATTTACTATTTTCAAACAACTTTAACTATTGCATGTACCACTGAGAAAATGCATAACAATTCATTAGACATTCTGCAAGGTAGCTATTATTGTCTACAATTTACAGCTGGAGTAATTGAAGCTAGGAAAGCAGGGTGATATGCTGAGCCAGAGCTAACATTCAAAGTCCAGTGTCCTGGGCTCCAAACCACATGTTTCACTACTCCTCCCATGTGCCTTTGGCCTTCCTTGGAGGTCACCAGCTGACATGCTGAGCACAGGAATGGTTTCTGTTGCTTTTCTGATGAAGTTGCTCTCTAGCCATAGGGAATGTGCTTGGCTGCACATGTCACAACTGGTAAGTGCCTGGATTAAGACTCCAGGGTGGGGTGGGAGTTGATGCCTAAATACCTGGGCTTACTCACCTCTGCCTCTCTCCTGGACAATTCCAAGGAGTGCCCTACACACTTCAGAAGATCCACAGTGGGATTATGCACCTGCTGCCCACAGTAGTAGCTGAGTTATTTGTGTATACCCTTTACTGCTTTCTTCCTGCCCTTTCTCCCTTCACCACTCCTTCCCAGTGCTTCCCAAAGAAACAATGTGAACAAAAGCCTCATCTTAGTGCTTTCTTCAAGCTAAGGCAAACTCAGGCATATTAGATGTGTCTAATATCCCTCACAGTTCTTGGTGACCTACCCCCACATCCTCTTTGGTGTATCTTATCATTTCATTAACACAGGATCTTTAAGGTGATGATGGCATTTGCAACTGTGAAAACTTTCTTGTCTATTGGTTAAATGGCTTAGAAAGTTCTTTTATATGTTATTTCAATTTTTAGCTGTAATCTTCATATAAAATCTAATAGATGAACAAGTCAATTATCATCAGACCCATTTTAAAGATGAAGTAAAATTGGCCCAGATGGATGAGTTGTGCTATGCAGGGCCTCAGAGAAATTTAATTATTATTTTCTGCCGTTTCCTATTGAATTCTACCAGCTATAGATCTTGTGCTGAGCACCCCTGGATTTGTCTGTAGTTCATAGTCTAGAAGAATATGGAACTATGATTGATGGGCGATTGTAGAGAAAAAATTAATGAAAAATAAAAGATGGTTATAGTTTTAATGCTCTTAAGTTTGCTTTCCCCATGACTTCAATGAATTAGTGATACAGTTCAAACAGTAAGGAATTTTAACCTTACTTGCTACAAAGGATGAATAAAATATGAAAATTAAAAGGTCACAGTATGGAGAAATAAGCATTCTCTCTCCTTTGTGTATACATTTTTCCCCTAACAAAACTTCCTGATTGAACTAATTGGTCAACATAGGGAAGTGTGAAAAAGAACTCCCTTCTGTGTGGAAAATTTTGACTTGTTAGCCTAAGAGGGAGTTGCTCTGCATCGAAGTCTGAGACTGCAATATCACTAAAGTTACACAGGAATTATTTGTATGTTATGTATGGCTACACAAGCACATGGCTCACACAGAACTAACCCATTGTTAATTGCATTTCTTGTTCCCCCGACTGCAGCCCTGTGCTCTGTTTTTCATAGGGTCTCAATCTTAGAGCGTCTATCATTCCTACCCCTTTAGACCACACTCTTCATGGATCTTTCTTAAACTAAAACTCAAATTCCCTCCTTTTATTCAGACTCCAGCTTATTTTTAACTACCAGCTAGAATTTTTATTTAAATGCCCTAGTATGGCTTCAAAGTCATTGGGTCTGGTAGTAAATGGTTGTATTATTTTCCAACACCACAGTCTATGTCCATATTCTCATTTACTCTACAAATCTTATATCTTTAACTCATATTTCTTAGTTTTCCATTTCCAAAGATTAATTTCTATCATTTTTTCTATACATAGTGGCACCCCACTACCACCACGTCATGTAATCACATCTGCCTTTGTTACAACAAGGTCTCCCTCCATCCACTTGGCCTTTCCATGTCCTCCAGTTTCATTGCTACTCCATATATCACTGGGCTCCTTGCACCAGGTGCAATATCCTCGATTTCGTTTTTAAGACCCTTCTTAACACATCCTTATTTGTGTCCAATTTTATTCTTGTTATTCTACTATGTGTATTTTCAATGTTGATTAATGTTCAAAGCCAGGAGATTTCCAATCTTTCAACTCACATTTAAAGAAATTTTGACTACTACTGTTTATTTATATACATAATTTTTATTTTTTATGTGTGAGAGAGTGAAAGAGAGACAGAGTGAGAGATAGTCCAAAACCATCCCAGATAATGATTTGGTAGTTTGAAGTGGAGACCAGGTATGAGCAATTGTTAAAAGCTCCCCAGGAAATTCTGAGAAACATCCAGAATTAGAAATCATTGTTCTAGATGTAGCAGTATTAGGTAGGTATATGTTTCTTTTCTTCCTTAGAAGTCTAGGATTTGAATAAATAAACCAAGATGTACCTGTGCTACGAAAAT